ACTCATCTGGGTCTTCAACTTTCAATTGTGGCCCCTTGTTTCTGTGTCCCCTCTCTGGAACATCCTGTCTCTGTCCACCTTGTCTATTCCACGCAGTATTTTGTATGTTGTTATCATATCTTCCCTAACCCTCCTGTCCCTCAGTGTCGTCAGGCCGATTTCCCTCAACCTTTCTTCGTAGCTCTGGAACTAACCTTGTCGCAAACCTTTGCACTTTCTCTAATTTCTTGACGTGCTTGATCAAGTGTGGGTTCCAAACAGGTGCTGCATACTCCAACATGGGCCTGACGTACACCGTGTACAGTGTCTTGAACGATTCCTTACTAAGGTATCGGAACGCTGTTCTCAGTTTTGCCAGGCGCCCATATGCTGCAGCAGTTAACTGGTTGTGTGCTTCCGGAGACATGCTCGGTGTTATACTCACCCCAAGAGCTTTCTCCTTGAGCGAGGTTTGCAGTCTTTGGCCACCTAGCCTATTATCTGGAGTTTACTTGGAGAGAGAGTTCCGGGGGTCAACGCCCCCGCGGCCCGGTCTGTGACCAGGCCTCCTGGTGGATCAGAGCCTGATCAACCAGGCTGTTACTGCTGGCTGCACGCAAACCAACGTACGAGCCACAGCCCGGCTGGTCAGGAACCGACTTTAGGTGCTTGTCCAGTGCCAGCTTGAAGACTGCCAGGGGTCTGTTGGTAATCCTATACTCCGTCTGCGGTCTTCTTTGCTCTTCCCCGCTCTTCATGACTCTGCATTTGGCGGGTTTAAATTCGAGCAACTAGCTGCTGGACCATGTATCCAGCCTGTCCAGGACCTCATCTGATTTAATTCTCCTCATTAACTTCACATCATCTACGAACAGGGACACTTCTGAGTCTAACCCTTCCATCATGGCATTCACATATACCAGAAATAACACTGGTCCTAGGACCGACCCCTGTGGGACCCCACTCGCCACAGGTGCCCACTGTGATACCTCATCACGTACCATGACTCGTTGCCTCCCTGTCAGGTATTCTCTGATCCATTGCAGCACCCTTCCTGTTATATGCGCCTGATCCTCTAACTTCTGCACCAATCTCTTGCGAGGAACTGTGTCGAAGGCCTTATGTATGCTGGGAGGCAGTTGAACAGTCTTGGGGCCCCTGACACTTATTGTGTTGTCTCTTAACGTGCTAGTGACACCCCTGCTTTTCATTGGGGGGATGTTGCATCGTCTGCCGAGTCTTTTGCTTTCGTAGGGAGTGATTTTCGTGTGCAAGTCCGGTACTAGTCCCTCTAGGATTTTCTTGGTGTATATAATCATGTATCTCTCCCGCCTGCGTTCCAGGGAGTACAGGTTCAGGAACTTCAAGCACTCCCAGTAATTGAGGTGTTTTATCTCAGTTACGCGTGCCGTGAAGGTTCTCTCTACATTTTCTAGGTCAGCAATTTCACCTGCCTTGAAAGGTGCTGTTAGTGCGCAGCAATATTCCAGCATGGTTAGAACAAGAGACCTGAAGAGTATCATCATGGGCTTGGCATCCCTAGCTTTGATGGTTCTCATTATCCATCCTGTCATTTTTCTAGTAGATGCGATTGATACAGTGTTATGGTCCTTGAAGGTGAGATCCTCCGACATGATCACTCCCAGGTCTTTGACGTTAGTTTTTCGCTCTATTGTGTGGTTGGAATTTGTTTTATACTCTGATGAAGTTTCAATTTCCTCACGTTTACCATATCGGAGTAATTGAAATTTCTCATCGTTGAACTTCATATTGTTTTCTGCACCCCATTGAAAGATTTGGTTGATGTCCGCCTGGAGCCTTGCAGTGTCTGCAATGGAAGACACTGTCATGCAGATTCGGGTGTCATCTGCAAAGGAAGACACGGTGCTGTGGCTTATATCCCTGTCTATGTCTGATATGAGGATGAGGAACAAGATGGGAGCGAGTACTGTGCCTTGCGGAACAGAGCTTTTCACTGTAACCGCCTCAGACTTTACATAAGAACATAAGAAAGAAGGAACACTGCAGCAGGCCCACTGGCCCATGCGAGGCAGGTCCAGGCCTCCTACCGGCTTAAGTCAATGCCCCAACCTAGTTAGGTCAGGTCACATTCACTTAAGGAAGGAACACGGCAACCGACCTAGTAGCACAAGCTAATCAGGTCCAACTCACTCCCATCCACACCCACTCATGTATTTATCTAACCTATTTTTAAAACTACACAACGTTTTAGCCTCTATAACTGTACTCGGGAGTTTGTTCCACTCCTGGAGTTTACCTGGAGAGGGTTTCGAGGGTCAACGCCTCTGCGGCCCGGTCTGAGACCAGGCCTCATGGTGGATCAGGGTCTGATCAACCAGGCTGTTACTGCTGGCCGCACTCAAGCTGACGTACGAACCACAGCCTGGTTGGTCAGGTACTGACTTTAGGTGCCTGTCCAGTGCCTTCTTCAAGACACCCACAACTCTGTTACCAAACCAGTGCTTTCCTATATCCTTCCTGAATCTGAATTTTTCTAACTTAAAACCATTGCTGCGAGTCCTGTCTAGGCTAGATATTTTCAGCACGCTATTTACATCCCCTTTATTTATTCCTGTCATATCCCCCTAATTCTACGCCTTTCTAGAGAGTGCAGATTCAGGGCCCTCAGTCTTTCCTCATAGGGAAGATTTCTGATACATGGGATCATCTTTGTCATCCTCCTTTGTACGTTTTCCAGAGCGTTTATATCCATTCTGTAATACGGTGACCAGAACTGAGCAGCATAATCTAAATGAAGCCTAACCAAGGATATAAAGAGTTGAAGAACCACTTAATTATTATTATTATAATCAAGGGGGAAGCGCTAAACCCGGAGGATTATACAGCTAGAACCACTTAAGGACTTCTATTATTTATGCTTCTTGATATGAAGCCAAGGATTCTATTAGCTTTATTGCGAACACTTATGCACTGTTGTCTTGTTTCAGATTACTGCTAACCAGAACTCCTAAATCTTTTTCGCAATTTGTTGACTGCTACTCTTTGTGTTCTGTTTGTCAGGAAATTATAGATCTATCTACCAACTTTTCCTGTAATTCTTTCAGCACGCATTTTGTGCACTATTACACCATGGTCACACTTGTCGAAGGCTTTTGCAAAGTTTGTGTATATTACATTTGCATTCTTTTTGTCTTCTAGTGAATGTAGGACCTTGTCGTAGTGATCCAGTAGTTGGGACAGACGGGAGCGGCCTGCTCTAAACCCATGTTGCCCTGGGTTGTGTAATTAATGGGTATCTAGATGGGGGTGATCTTGCTTCTTAGGACCCTTTCAAAGATTTTTATGATATGGGATGTTAGAGCTATCGGTCTGTAGTTCTTTGCTATTGCTTTACTGCCCTCTCTGTGGAGTGGGGCTATGTCTGTTGTTTTAGCTGATATCAATGACATACTATTGCTATATGGAAAGCCGCTTGTTATGCAGAGCATTTCGGGCAGATTAGGTCAGTTTTGTCCCAGGATGCGACCCACACCAGTCGACTAACACCCAGGTACCCATTTTACTGATGGGTGAACACATGACTCACAAAATCGTAATGACACGATTGCAAACAAACCATACCACGGGCGGGATTTGAACCCGCGGTCAGTCTCAAAACTCCAGACCGTCGCGTTAGCCACTAGACCAGGTAGCCACAATAAGATTCGTCCAACTAGGTATATTTCTACACCATAGGAAGGTTAGCATAGGCACCACTGTGACCACAAACTGCATTTGTGGTCACAGTTGGACGAATCTTATTGTGGCTAGCTGGTCCAGTGGCTAACGCGACGGTCTGGAGTTTTGAGACTCTCTGACCGCGGGTTCAAATCCCGCCCGTGGTATGGGTGAACACAGACAGACGGTGTAAAGAAACACGTCCGATGTTTCTACCCTCGCTGTGCGAAAAGCTTTAGCTAGCTCAATATCACCAGCTGATGTAGACATAATTACTGTCAATGTAAACTTTGCCAGATGGACTAGTGTCACACCCTGCATCATTATTGCTGGAACACAAATGTTCAAAAAATGTCAAAAGTATTGTATCTACTGTGGTATATTAACATTATTATTATTATAATCAAAAAGAAGCGCTAAGCCACAAGGGCTATACAGCGGCATATTAACAACCATTCTGGGAAGATATCCTGACTTTGTCTATTGCAAATAACTCGTAACCACTTAAATTTGTTTAAATTCAACCATATCTTGCTAAAATATAAATACACAAGTATATTTAGGTACAAGTACACATAAGTACAATTATCATACATAGTTTAACATATGTAAATTACCTAGGATAACCCCCCAAAAAGTCTAAGTGATTTATATGGCTGAATTCATGTTACTTGGATGAAGTCATTACTATTGCAACATGTAAATAATTCATTAACACTGTGACTTGCTTAGCTTTTAAATCTTTGTGGCCCAGTCGCTGCAGCTATTACTTGCCTTTAATATTTTGGCTACGTCCATCACTATTGGTATTGGAGGGGGAGAGGGAATATTAGATACTAATGTTTTATCACTGATTACATCATTTACCTTTAACTTGCTTAGTTAATCTTAAGTTAATTTTAAGCCAGCCCGTAATGCTATGCATACAAGTGGCTTTGGCATGCTGCTCTTACCTGTATTTTGTGTACCTCTGTATGTATGTTCAAATTATTAAATAAATAAATAAAATAAATAAATAAATAGATAATCGCTCCAGGGACTGGGCCATAACATTTGTGGTTGCTCAATAAATTAAAGTGGTAATGACCTATTTATTGAATTCAGAACAATAGTAATAAATTCCCACAGCCACGAATTCAGTCAGTAAACTTTACATTGTAGTTATATGCGGTTATGAGTTATTTAAGTTACTTACAACAAGCAAAATCAGGGTATTTTTCCAAAAAGTCAGATTATATACCACTGTGAATAAAACACTTTTAACATTTCTTGAATATCTGTGAGTGAGTTGTCTCGTGTGTACACAAAATAAATATTGGTATTTAGCTTATCTATGGGTAAAATTGATTGAGAACTAGACTTGAGGGAATGTTGTGTGTCAGTGGAGGATGAGACTGTGAGGGGAAGATACACCACTCAGCTCCTCCTCTTCCTTTACATTCCACTCTCGCTTCAGTTTCTTTACATCATCCCAAGATGCCGTCGAGGTCTGAAGACATTCTACAAGGATTTAAAATGTATCCTTTATTCTCTGTTGGTTTAAGATGTTTAATATATGGTCTGTCAGTTTGTTGGTTGCCAGGGAGACGCGGTAAACAATGTTATGTAGGGGTAATCTTATCTTAACATTGTTAGAATGAGCTAGTCATATCTAACATAGGTAGACAGTGATAGTCTTATCTTAACATTGTTACACAGGATCAATTAGTAGTGCCATCAGCTCCTATCTGAAGGATCATGGATCGTTCTCTGCACAAGTGGACACGCTGGGCATGTTCCTGTACACCTGTTGTCCCTCTTCACCTAGTAAGTTTATTTAGATACAGGTACACATAGGTACAGTTATCATTCATAGTAACGTGTAAATTACCTAGGTGTTAGTCAACTGTTGTGGAATGCATCCTAGGGGAGAGCACCAAAGGACTCTTAATTAATTATAATAATTCACTTCGTCTGAGTTTTTTGGGTTAAGCAAGTTTATTCAGGTACAGGTATACATAATTGTACTTATGTGTACCTGAGCCTAAATAAACTTATTGATTGGTTTTCTTTGGTTATCCAAGGCCACTAACCCTCTGTGTTAAATCTTCTGTTTTAACCCCTCCTCTCTTTAATGTTAATGTAAATAACACAGTTCATCTCATTATATATCTCCTTTTCACACAGTTGAGTTAAACAAATTTTATTTTCTTGCAAGATTACGTTGAGATTGGAAAATTACAGTAATGAGTTGCAGTGCAAAGAGAGCCACTATCATTCCTAGGCATTATGGGCAGACTTAATTTAATGGTTTACAGATTACTTAATACTAATACTACTTAATACTAGCCGTTTTAACTTTTAAGATTTAAATAATAAAATATTACAAGGCCCTTAATGGAAATAAGTTGCTTGGACTTTTTTTTGGTTATCCTAGGTAATCTACACATATGCTGCTATGTATGGTAATTTATGCAACTGTATTTATGTATACCTGTACCTGAATAAACTTACTTACCCTCTTAAGGGAGATGCCTTGATGCCAGTGAGGGGAGTTTTTGATCCAAGGAATTGGACTTGCTCTATTTTTTTGAATGGATTCTAATTGACTCCCATTACCCATGCTCTGTATGACTGCTATGGGTTAAGTAAGGAAGTTTATTCAGGTACAGGTACACATAAATACAGTTACATAAATTATCATACATAACATATGTGTAGATTACCTAGGATAAACCAAGAAAGTCAAACTAAGTGGCTTATTTCCATTGGAGTCCTTGTAATACTACCTTATTATTAAAACATTAAGAGGAGATATACTAGGAATAAGGTAAACTGAGTTATTTACATTTACATCAAAGAGAGGATAGATCACAGTAATAGGCACATGTATGTTAGTTATACCAGAAATCATTCTCCTCCCTTTCTGTCTCTACATTCTTTTGGTACGTTTGGCTCTCTTCTTGAACTGTTTCATTCTGTGACAGGCTCTGACATGTGCAAGCAGTTTTTTGCACTACTTTATTGTTGTACAATAAAATATGTTTGAAGCTTGGCCACTGACTGGGTGCTACGAAGTTGTGCTCTCTTCCCCTAGTACTATGATTACTTTCGTTCCCAGACTTAACAAGCAGGGCAGCAAGATATTCTGTACACGTTTGTGAGCAATTTTATAAACGTGGTTTAGCTTCAATTTAGTGCCTAACATGATTATTACAAGTCTTAATACATTATTATATTAAACTGTTTTCTTAATAAAATGTTGGGTAGGAACAGTGCTATCCTCGCACATTTTTTATAGGCAATATTAACACATTGTTATGCCTGTTTCAGCTACTGGATTATTATGACAAGGCCCTCGATGCTATAGAGGATACACAAAATGCAGATGTATTATATACAGACTTTGCAAAAGCCTTTGACAGGTGCGACCATGGTGTAATAGAACACAAAATTTGTGATAAAGGAATAACAAGAAAAATTGGTAGTGGATGAATCTACAACTTCCTAACAAATAGAAGACAGAGCAATAGTAAACAGTAAAGTCTGAGGCAGCTACAGTGAAAAGCTCTGTTCCACAAGGCACAGTACTCACCCATCCTATTCCTCATCCTCATATCTGACATAGACAGAAGTAAGCCATAGCTCTGTGTCTTCCTTTGCGGATGACACCTGAATTGTCATGACAGCGTTCTCCATTGAAGACACCGCAAGACTCCATGCGAACATCAATCATTCTTCAAATGGGCCACTCAAAACAATATGAAATTCAATGAAGAGAAATTTCAACTACTCAGATACGGAAAACTTGAAGAAATTAAAACTGTATCAGGGTATACAACAAATTCTAACCATACAGTAGAGTGAAAAAGTAATATGAAGGACCTGGGAGTAATAATGTCAGAGGATCTCGCCTTCAAAGACCACAGCAATGTATCTACCACATCTATAAAAACGGTAAGATGGATAATGAGAACCTTCAGAACTAGGGACACCAAGCCCGTGATGATTCTCTTCAAATCACTTGTTCTCTCTATTTATTTATTTATTTTATGTCTTTGCAAACAGTACATTGAGATTTTATATTTAGGCTGGATTACTGCTATATACTAACTGCCCCCTTCAAGGCAGGCAAAATTGCTGACCTGGAGAGTATACAAAGACCTTTCATGGCACACACAAGTTCAATAAAGCAAATACATTACTGGGAACAGTTGAAGTTGAAGTCCCTTGATTTGTATTCCCTGGAATGCAGGTGAGAGAGATACATGATAATATACACTTGGAAAATCCTAGAGGGATTGGTACCAAACTTGCACACAAAAATCACTCCCTATGAAAGCAAAGGACTCAGCAGGCGATGCAACATTCCCTCATTGTAAAGCAGGAGTACCACAAATACACTGAGAGACAACACAGTAAGTGTCTGTATTGATAAGACCTGCTATATAATGTTTAGGAATAAAGCTAAGAACCTGGGAGTGATCATGTCAGAGGATCTCACCTTTAATCCTTTGGGGGTTTCCGCCGTACTAGTATGGCTTACGACCCAGGGTTTTTGACGTACTAGTACGCCTAAATTCTAGCGCCCTCAAATCTAGTGGGAGAAAGCTGGTAGGCCTACATATGAAAGAATGAGTCTATGTAGTCAGTGTGCGCAGTACAAAAAAATCCTGCAGCACACAGTGCATAATGAGAGAAAAAAAAACTTTGTGTTATTGGAATAAAACAGCGACTTTGCACTGTATTCTTGTATGGTATTTATTGCTGTATTCTAGTTTTCTTGGTCTCATTTTATAGAATGGACGACATATTACAGAAATTGAGATGATTTTGTCTGGTTTTACAATGAAAAGTACCTTGAAATTGAGGTCAAAGTAGCAGAAATGTTCGATTTTTACCAAAGTTCAAAAGTAAACAAATCATGCCAAGCATCCAATACATGTCAACTGGTGAGTCTAATATTCTTTTACAAGTGCGCTGATATTATTTATACTATTTCTACACTAATGCAGTAGTCTGCATAACAGTAAATCTTCTATTTTTTGTAAGAATAAAAATTCAAAGTGGAAAGCCAAAGAAATATAAGAGGGGCCTGGGGATGTGACTAACGAACAGAGAACTTGTTATTTTAGTGCCAGGAATGTCTTTCTTGTTTATTCTGGACCCTATTCGGAAATTGGCATCTTTTGAAATTTGTGTGAAATTGGCAAAATTGCTAAATTCTGACCACTTTATTGGATAGTTGAAATCGGTAAATGGGTGGTTTCTTGTACTCATTCGATACAAAAAATAGAGTTCTAGCGAAATAGTTATGATTTTTGTCTACTAGTACATTGGAATTGGCCAAAAATAGAGCTGCAAGTGGGCAAAATCACCGATGCGTAAACATCGTCGAGACCGCTAACTCTTCGAGAGCATAATTCCGTAAGTTTTCCATCAAATTTCATACTTTTGATGTCATTATGATGGGGAAAAGATTCTCTACCTTTCATAAGAATTTTTTTTTTTTTTTTAAATTTGGCCGACCCTGAAAACAAGTCTCGGAGAGGGCCTGTCGACCTTCAAAGGGTTAAAGACCATAACATTGTATCAATGGCATCTGCTAGAAAAATGACAGGATGGATAATGAGAACCTTCAAAACTAGGGATGCCAAGCCCATGATGACACTCTTCAGGTCACTTGTTCTATCTAGACTGGAATATTGCTACACTCTCAGCACCTTTCAAGGCAGGTGAAATTGCTGACCTAGAAAGTGTACAAAGAATCTTCACGGCACGCATAACTGCGATAAAACACCTCAATTACTGGGAACACTTGAAGTTCCTCAACCTGTACTCCCTGGAAAGCAGGCACGAGAGATACATGATTATATACACTTGGAAAATCGTAAAGGGATTAGTATGAAACTTGCACACGAAAATCACTCCCTATGAAAGCAAAAGACTCGGCAGGTGATGCAACAACCCCCCAATGAAAAGCAGGGGTGCCACTAGCATGATAAGAGAGAACACAGTAGGTGTCAGGGGCCCAAGACTTCAACTGCCTCTCAGCATACATAAGGGGGATTGCCAATAGACCCCTGGCTGATTTCAAGAAGGCACTGGACAGGCACCTAAAGTCAGTACCTGACCAGCCGGGCTGTGGTTTGTACGTCAGTTTGCATGCAGCTAGCAGTAACAGCCTGGTTGATCAGACCCTGATCCACCACAAGGCCTGGTCTCAGACCGGGCTGCAGGGGCATTGACCCCCGGTACCCTCCAGGTATACTCCAGGTATACAGACAGTTATCGCAATACAGAACAATATGTATAATACAGTATAGATATGTGTGGTATATTCCTGTGATGTCTCAGAGGAATTTAATTCCATAAGGGGTCTTTTCATCTCATTTAGTTGTATATACATATAGCATTTTAGGTTGGTAGACAGCATATCAAACTTTTTTGTTTTAATTACATTACCTAATAGAATACTCCATTCTATTGAATGCACAGCAACTCAGCAAATGACCATATGACCTGACTTTGAAATACTCATTTGTTCTTAATTGTTATTTGTTTACTCATTGCTTAGTTAATATTAAAGGTAATTTTAAGCCTGCCCATAATGCTCTGCATACAACGGGCTTTTGGCATGTTACACTTAACCACTGTATTTCTTTGTACATCTATGTATCATGTCCAAATTAATAATAAATAAATAAAAAATAAAAGTCCCCTCAGAGCCACAGTGGTGCCTATGCTAACCTTCCTATGGGGTATAAATATACCTAGTTGGATGAATCTTATTGTAGCCAGCTGACTCAGTGGCTAACTTGTCAGTCTGAGGTTTTATGATTGATCTCGGGTTCTATCCCCGCCCGTGGTATGGTTTGTTTGCAATCGTGTCATTAAGATTTTGTGAGTCATAAACACTTAGTTGTGAAAGTACAAAATGGAATTTTGAACATTTTTTTGCATGATGAAAACTGTTGGTCTTTCCTTTCACTCTCAAAAACATGTAAGTTGTTATATAGTTCTTTTACAGTTTTCATAATTATCAAATCAGCTGCTGCTGCCTTTTTTTTTTCACTTTTACATGTGGGATATCAAATATGGATGTTTCCTGCATAGTGAAAGTGCATCTTTTACATCTCTCCAAAATGGTTTGTCCTGGAGTATTTGTCATGTAATTAGCTCATTGGTACTGGCCTTATGATGATGGTATCTAAGATCACACATAAAGGTAGGGTAACTAGTATTAGACTCCTGATTTAACGTTGCTAGCTAGACTTAGTGGTCAGAGCGATGTAATTTGATATTATCTCACACTGCTAAATTTTATGTGAAATTATATTTTCTTTATGTACTGAATTATAAAAGACATTTTTAAATTTAAAGTTTATCTTATTTGTGTGTAAATGATCATAATTTTGCTTTTTTATTAATTTTTATTATAATAATAATGTTTATTTCTTTATTCCACACAAATAATGTAGATAAGTGAATTAATACAGTGATAGGCACAAAAGAAAGCTTATTTCTGCTGAAGAGGCTAAAAACCTGTACAGTGAACCATTGATATAGCAAGCTAATAGAGTGGATTGTCAGTCCATTAAATTACAATGCATACTCTTAAAAAAAACTCCACTGTATATCTAATACAGTGGACCCCCGCATAACGATCACCTCCGAATGCGACCAATTATGTAAGTGTATTTATGTAAGTGCGTTTGTACGTGTATGTTTGGGGGTCTGAAATGGACTAATCTACTTCACAGTATTCCTTATGGGAACAAATTCGGTCAGTACTGGCACCTGAACATACTTCTGGAGTGAAAAAATATCGTTAACCGGGGGTCCACTGTAAAGTATTGAACACAACAGATATACTCCAATAATCATTGAAAATAAAGAAGTTAAAAGTAGAATTCATGCAATGGATTTTGTACATTATTGTAAAAGACTGTTAAATCGAGGATTTACTGTGTGTCATTACTTGTTGATTATTAATTTCTTGTATGCTGGATTATATTCAGCATACCTTTGTTTAAATTGTGATGATGGCCTTAACTCTCAATAGCAATTGGATGAATCTTCGAGATGCTGACAGCGGCAAAGTTCTCTGGCAGGGTACAGAAGACTTGTAAGTTTGATTTTTTCTTCTGTTGGGGGGGAAGGGCTTACTTGGAATATACTGCACCTCATTTATGTGCATACTCACCTCAAATAGTCTCTTGCAAGATTTGTACATAAATTTTATGCTTAATGACTTCCTTAACCTCCAAGTGTCAAGAGTGTTGTTGCTTGCCATAACAAGGAGTGTGCCAGATTATCAGTATGAGTTTCAATGGAATTGGATAATTTTGGTGGTATGTATTGGTATTGGCCTAAAATTGAATATCAGTGGGTATTGACTAATTCTGACAGTGTCAGTATCAGCAAGCATTTTGGCAACATCCCATCCCATCCCAGAATGCATCAGGATATAGGTGATGCACCCTCTCCATCACACTGACAACCATACTCTCCCATGGAACCCTGTCTAACTTCAGGTTTTGCAATAGTCCCATCTCCCCTTCATAATTTCATTTGGTGTGTACATTTGCCCTGTATGGCATATGTGATATTATATTAATTTTGACTGCTAGCTTTACCCTGTTGTAGGCTTGGACACCTTGCTCTCTCATTGGATGACATGTTCTTTGGTACTCCCTTCAGTTATGCCTGCTTTGATTCCATTGCCAATCAGCAGCTGCCAATTCTGTCTTTTGGTTTAGGTGATAAGATTCCAGGTGAATTCCCCATGTCCCACAGTAGAATACCATTTTGAGAGATGTATTTATACATTAAGGGCTCTCCCTGTTGTGTTTCGGCTGACATCTTGGCCCTGGAGCAGCACCAGTTTGGAGCCCACACCTGGTCAAGCATGTCAAGAAATCGGAGAAAGTGCAAAGGTTTGCAACAAGGCTGGTTCCAGAGCTAAGGGAAATGTCCTACGAAGAAAGGTTAAGGGAAATTAGTCTGATGACACTGGAGGACAGGAGGGCCAGGGGTGACATGATAATGACAAACAAAATACTGCATGGAATAGATAAGGTGGACAGAGATAGGATGTTCCAGAGATGGGACACAGAAACGAGGGGTCACAATTGGAAGTTGAAGACTTGGATGATCCAAAGGGATGTTAGGAAGTATTTCCTCAGCCACAGAGTTGTTAGGAAGTGGAATAGTCTGGCAAGTGATGTAGTGGAGGCAGGAACCATACATAGTTTTAAGACAATGTACGATAAAGCTCATGGAGCAGGGAGAGGGAGAACCCAGTACTGGTCAGTGAAGAGACGGGGCCAGAAGCCGAGTCTCAGCCCCTGCAACCACAATTAGGTGAGTACTAGTGAGCAGGGATGATTGGGGAACATAATAACATATGTATTTTTGAGAGAATGCCCACTGTTTTGGAATTTTTTTTTTAGAAATATCCTGGATGTGTGTATTGAATTTGTTTGCTGGGTGTATTCCCAAGAATTGACCCTCATCTTGCCTATCGATTGGTGTATTGTTTATCTTTATATTCAAATAAAAAATTTTTGCTTTGTTCCCAGACATTATATAGAAGATCTTGTCAGTATTGAGTGAGAGGTCATAGTTATGTATATGTACTAAACATGAATGATAAGCTATATTATATACTGTTATTGTAGTAACTCAGTGTTACATATATTTAATGGTAGAGTGGAAGAGTTAATATTATTCTAATCAGATACAGTGCACTGAATTCAGTATGAATACATTTTTTTTACTTATTACAATACTGTATATGAATACTAAATAATTCTGTTTAAGTTAGCTGTTAATTGTACCACTGTTTGCAGCACCAACCCAGATGTTGAACATGAGGCTCGCGTTCCCAGGAAAATTCTCAAGTGTCGAGCAGTTTCTAGGGAAATTTCCTTCTCTTCAGTCCACTCTATGGAGAAGTTTAGGTTAGAGCAGAGAGTTTATTTCAAGGTAAATATAAATACGTAAAATACTGACAGCTTGCTTTTGTATGACTCATTTTTTCTGCCATTATGACAAACTTCAATCCTTAAGAATAATAAGTCACAAAACAGTTCAAAACAGTTCACCAAAAGCTGCACTTAGGAGTGGAAGGTTAAGGTGACATTTCGGTCAGTTCTGGATGGACTGAAATGTCACTAATGTTCTTCACCTAAGTGTGGGTATTTGGTGAAAAACTTAAGTCCTTTAATTTACTTTAGTATACAGCAGCATTCTCAGTTCAAATTTTCTGGAAGCTATTTTTTATTTCACCAGATGCATTTGTATTTTGTGCATTAATTTTATGCATGTGTGGAGGGCATATTTTTTTGATAAAGATTGGTCAGGAATTTTGGAACGAATTAAAATATAGTTAAAACTGACTTGTATATTCAGTGCTGTAAAATCCTTGATTTAACAATTGCCTTTACCAGCTAGTAATGGCAGTTGTGGTGGATAGAGATGAGATTGTTTTAACATGATTGTAACAATGGTGGACGATGGACCTTATCCATTTTTTCTGAATCAGTTGACCCTGTGGACTTTGTATTTTATTTACGAAGTCTACTAAATTAAGGGTTTACTGTGTTAAAATTTTGCATACCGGATTTGAGTCCTGGAAATGGGAAGTACAGTGCCAGCACTGTAAAGGAGGGGTTTGAGATATTGGCAGTTTGGAGGGACTTCTAAACTGTCGTATCTGAGCGCCTCTGCAAAGACAGTGATTATGTATGAGTGAGGTGAAAGTGTTGAATGATGATGAAAGTATTTTTCTTTTTGGGGATTTCCTTTCTTTTTGGGTCACCCTGCCTCGGTGGGAGACGACCAACGTGTTGAAAAAAAAAGGGTTCATATTTGTTTGGTAGAAATTGGTCAGGAACTGTAGATTTAATAATTTCATTGATCTGTTGGACAGTGGAGCAGCTGTCCTGCACATGATCAAGATTGATGTACAGCTGTTTGGGCACAAGCTTACTTGCACCACATCCCTCTCTCACACTTACCCAGGTATTTGTTATATTCACCAAAGCTTTCTTCCTCCACACCACTGGCCCAGGCATGCACACACACTACAGCCTTCCCACACCACATTCCCAGACATCTAATACCCTCACCATTGCAGTGAGAAGATGAAGAGTATATGTAAAGTATTGTGTGAGATATGCTGGGAGAAGGGGAGAAAGTGAATGGGAGAGAGGAAGGTTACTGAATGGGAGAATGACTTGTGAAATATTGTAATAGACCTTTGTAGTATACAGCATATCCAGTACTAACAATGTCTTTCAATTTCAGGATCGCATGCTTGAAGAATGGTTTTTTGAATTTGGTACAGTAATTCCTAACTCCACAAACACTTGGCAAAGCTTGATTGAGGCTGCTCCGGAATCTCAAATGATGCCAGCCCAAGTATTAAGGTATGAGCCATTAGTACGTATGTTTAATTATCTAATTTGTGGGGATGATTTCAACACGAGTCCACCTCTTTAACTCCAGATGGACTAATGTGACTTGCCTCAGTTGTATTTACATTATGACATCCATTTCACTTCATTGTATAGATAATTTCAGTTCATTAATGTAGTTAAATTGAAGAAACATTTCTTGACATCTCTCTCATTCTGTAGGGCATTCATTCCCATGTTCTGGACCCTCCTTCAGTAAACATTGCCTTTATTAACCTTGTCAGTATCTTTTGTGATTACCTATACCTATCTGTAGTTGCATAAGTAGAGCTAGGTTCATGGTATTCCATATTCATTATTTAGTCTTCCATTGCAATCTTCTAGGATAGTCTCACCTTTGCTGCATTTCTTCAACTTCTAAACTGATTTGCTTCATCAACTGTAACCCTCGATCATTCAGTTGATGTTTTTCAAACGTTTCATTTTGATATCCTGATTCCTGTATTAAGATGTAATAGTGGCATAAGGAAGATCAGCTAATTTGCTTGAAGGGTGCAATAATTATTGAGTTACGGGAACTCGCAGCCTAACTCTGGAGATATCTTTGGATGAACCTGACCCCCCCCCCCTTTTTTTTTTTTTTTTTTTTTAACAAGTCGGTCGTCTCCCACTGAGGCAGGGTGACCCAAAAAGAAAGAAAATCCCCAAAAAGAAAATACTTTCATCATCATTCAACACTTTCACCTCACTCACACATAATCACTGTTTTTGCAGAGGTGCTCAGAACACAACAGTTTAGAAGCATATACATATAAAGATACACAACATATCCCTCCAAACCGCTAATATCCCGAACCCCTCCTTTAGAGTGCAGGCATTGTACTTCCCATTTCCAGGACTCAAGTCCGGCTATATAAAAATAACTGGTTTCCCTGAATCCCTTCACTAAATATTACCCTGCTCATTTGTTGACCCCATATTTACATTAATTCTAAAAAAAAATTTGACTGAATAGGCTATTCAGAAACAAGGACAGTTATAAGGCATTTCCAGTAATTTTAGTCTAATGACCAAGGATTTCAGGTTTTGTATAATTTAGTATGTACAATATTGTATTATAATGCCAAACATTTTTTATACACCAGCAATTTTTTTTTTTTCAGTGGGAATGTTGTAATAGAGACAAAATTCTTTGATGATGACCTGTTGGTGTCTACCTCAAAGGTTCGTCTTTTTTACATCTGATGCAGTGACAGCTTCATCTCGAATTGACATTAGACTGTCCAGGAGTTTGGCATCTTGTTAAAAATATTCATATCTGGTATATTCGTCTGTTCATCTTGTATAATTCTCTTTTCTGGCATATCTTCAACTCTCTTCAGATTTGAATGTTGTTTTTATCTTCAGAAAGTTTTGCCTTTTTTTAATTAATGAGAAGTATGAACATTTTATCAGTCGAATGTATTAATTATATCCAACTTAAGGTTGTATGTATTAGTATAACAATTCAAAACCTTTATTTTAGCAATATGTAATGCTATATTTGGTTGTTGTCTCTTACTCTGGCATAATACCCAGCACTACAAACACTGAAGAAATACAGTAACACACAAGTAAAGTAAGAGACTTGGAAATTTTTACCCTTACTATTCACCAAAGGCATTATGCTCATCTTAGTATAGTAACTACTGTATAAATATTAATTGGTTGCATATTGACAACAAACCCATTCTTAAATTTTTTAGATGACTGCCATTGACAAGAACTTTAACTGTTATGCAATGTAAGATAGTACATATTTTGTAGAGGCCATCTACAAGGCTGAGAAAAGCTATGACAACTATTGTTTGAGGTGGTTTGTAGCCAGTGTTCTTTTTGGGATGAAAGTTTCCATTTCTTGACTGTTAATATAACAGTTGAAGGTTAATGATGAGTTAATTTATCATAGTTGAATTGTTACATGCTTTGCAAATTGTTTATTATGCATCTACATGTATTCTTTACTGATTATTTATGTAGTGCACCACCGTTAATATTACATCATTGTAACCAGCAGCCTTTTAAAATAAGTAAATTTTTATAGTGAAAAAAAATTTTGAGAAAAAGTTTGGTAGTACAGTACTTATGAAAAGTTGAAGGAGTTGTTCTCTTCTAAATTAGTATGTTCAAACATACATGTATACATTATGATAAGATATATATCACCTAGGTGTCTATACTGCTGGAAGTACCAGGAACAAGTAACACTACTGGGTAGATACCTTAAGTAAATCACCAAATAGTGTGAGTTATCCAGTTGATAAATCTATCTGTTAATCTAGTCACCCATACTATGCTGGTTAGTTATATATAATATTTTACACATTATCACTTAAGTTTAATACAGCTGTATACAGTAATACAGTATTTTCTAATGTTATACCATTGTCATCATCACCTAATCTTTCAACACTTACATCACTTTCATCAATTTGTCAAGCATTTTCATTGCTGATGGTGTTTCATCGTTGTTTCTTTATTACTGTTATGGCAGTCTTGAATATCATTTTCAACAATTTTAGAAAGAATTTCAATTTTTTTTATAGCCTCATCATAATTTTTCTGGAACTCTTCAAAATCTGCATTACTTGACTCAGCTTTCCAGGCTTTGTTAAGCAGACCAAATTTTATGCCAGACATGGGCTGTTGCTACATGATTTTATTCCAAAATATACCAAAAGTATTTTTATGGCACAAACTTACTTAAAACATTCATGTAGTTTTTTTTTTTTCAACTTGCTGGCCATCTTCCACCGAGGCAGGGTGACGCCCATCCCTGTTCCCCTCCCCCCCCCCCAAAAAAAAAAACTTTCACCATCATTCACATTATCACTGTCTTTGCAGAGGCGTGCAGATACAACAGTTTAGATGTCACTCTAAACAGCAAATATCCCAAACCCCTTTTTTTAAAATGCAGGCATTTTTCTTTCCCCTCTAGGCTCAAATCCGCTAACCCGGTTTTCCCAAACCTTCACAAAATTTACCTTCTCGCCTCAAACAGCTCATTAAGTCCCCCAAAAATCATTTGCCTCCACCCCCATCCAAAATGCTCAAACACCCTGCGGGTGTCCATGCTCCTTGCACACACCCTCCTTTACCCCCGTCCTTCAACCTTTCCTAGGGGAACTCCACTCTAAACCCTTCCCCCTACTACAGATTTATACACCCTCCAAGTAATCCTGTTTTGCTCCACCCTCTCTAAATGTCCAAACCCCCTCAACAACTCTTCTTCATCCCTCTTGGATAATGCTTTTAGTAACTCTGCACCTTCTCCTAGTCTCCCAGCTACAATTTCTCTGCATAATATTTACACCACGTATTGCTATTGCCCTCGGACGTGACATCTCCACTGCCTGCAGCTTCCTCCTTGCTGTAACATTTGTAACCCATGCTTCACACCCATATAAGAGTGTTGGTACCACTATACTCTTATACATTACCCTCTCTACCTCCATAGATAACATTCTTTGCCTCTACAAATACCTCAGTGCACCACCCATCTTTTTTCTTCATCAATCCTGTGGTTCACTTTATCTTTCATTACCCATCTGCTGACAAGTCCACTCCCAATAATTTCTAAATTTTTATATCATTTGCCGAATAAATTAGAAAATTTCCAAAAGTAAATTGTTGCAGTGCCCTGGTATGCAGGTACCCCTTTCCCAATGGTTTAATACAGGGGCAGAGCTAGAGTAAAGCTGAAGCCCCCCAAATTTCATCAGATCCCCAAGGTCTCACCCAATTAATAATAATAATGCTGCCGCAGTGGCGTCAGCGGCCAAGTTCCCTAGCCTCCTCTTCCAACCAGATTGCACACACTAAGCCCCTCTTAAATATAACATCTAGAGCTGCCCTTGACCTTGTACACCGAATACCATGTCATTTCATTTAAATCTTTCCAGCCATGATAGTAATTCCTTGCTCTGTGATTTTTCTATATGTAAATTCACTTTTATGAAGTAACCTAGTTTTCCCGGTAGTTCCTTTTTTTTTTTTTTCATCAAACTGGCTGTATCCCACCAAGGCAGGGTGGCCCAAAAAGGAAAACAAAAGTTTCTCTTTTTAAATTTAGTAATTTATACAGGAGAAGGGGTTACTAGCCCCTTGCTCCCGGCATTTTAGTCGCCTCTTACAACACACACGGCTTACGGAGGAAGAATTCTGTTCCACTTCCTCATGGAGATAAGAGGAAATAAACAAGAAAAAGAATTAGAAAGAAAATAGAAGAAAACTCAGAAGGGTGTGTATATATATGCTTGTACATGTATGTGTAGTGTGACCTAAGTGTAAGTAGAAGTAGCAAGACGTACCTGAAATCTTGCATGCTTATGAGACAGAAAAAAGATACCAGCAATCCTACCAGCGTGTAAAACAATTACAGGTTTCCGTTTTACACTCACTTGGCAGGACGGTAGTACATCCCTGGGTGGCTGCTGTTTACCAACCTACTACCTACAGTTGACTGGACTTATCCATCATAATTCCCCTAGTGCAGTACTGTATGACACATTTTCACTACATCAGGAGAAGTTATTGGAGTGGAACATGACCAGGTTTTTAACTAGCAAGTTTCCTCAAAGTTTGACTTTTTTGTTTTTTATAGAGAAATAGACAATAAATAAATCACCAATGTCAGTTGTAGAATTGTTGTTTTGAGATGACATTTCTGTAATGGTCCTGGAAATGTTTTGCTAACAAACCTGGAGTTTACCTGGACTAACCAATCCAGGTAAACTCCAGGTAGGCATATTTAAAAAAAAAAAAAAAAACTGCTTGGATTAGCAGTCTGACCCAAATGTGTGATAATGCAAGAGGTGTGAGCTCTGGGTTTCTAATTTGGGTGGCTGAGAGACATGCCCAGCAGCATTGTTCTATACTACCCTCATTTTTTAATAAATATACTAGGTTTTTCAAAATAGAAAAGGATGGAAAGCCCTTTGGAGATTCCTTTCAATATACTGAACAGTACAATAATGAGGATTTCAGATCAGTAACACTGGACAATAAATTTCTTTTAGTTTGCTACTGAGGTAAATACAGTATAAAGGTTCTTTATTAACTCGAGTATGTTGATTTTTACTTGGGAAATTTATTATTTTTTTGGCATTGTATATTAAGAGTTAAGCACAATGTACAGTTTAGTGCTTTAGTTGATGATGATAAGCACAACGTACAATTGCACAGTTGATGTTCTATGTATGTAATTGTTCAGTTCTTGCCAGCAATACTCAGAATACATAGCCAACATAAAAAGTGACCTTTTTTTTTAAGGCACTGTGAAAATATCTAGCACATTGCACAATTGACGATTGTGTATACCATTCAGTATCACCAGCTCATCACCAGTACCCAATATATATATATATATATATATATGAAAAATTTATTTCCAATTTTTCTGTAACTAAAAATATGTACATGTCACGTTATTTCAGATTTTGAATCTTAATACTGCACTGCTTTCAAATCAGCATATTGCATTCAAGTTACTGTAGTCTAAAACACAGATTTTTACCTCTGTAGCAAATTTGTGGCTGTGCAGTGTAATTTTTAATGTAACGATGGTGCACTATATCTTAATTCTCTGTAGCTTAATTCTTTAAAAGAAATTTTATTTAATGAATATGTTATAGGTGTGGGTATAGTGAATACAAAACTGTCCTTCAAAAATATATATGCATATGTATTATAGTAACTAGTGAGCATAATACAGGTACAGTATTTGTTAAAATTTATCCAAGCTAAAATGTGATATATGCCATATACATAACTTTGTAAGTGTATGCATTTATTTTAAATAATAAAATGTTCTTTAGTTCAGAATAGCACTATTAATAACTAATGCATAAGCTAGACTATTCATACACATATTGACCTTCAGCTATCAAAAGGCAAGTGGACAACTATATTATATCATCATGATCATGTTGGCCATTATCATCTTAACTGGTATAAGGACAGCATGCAGAACAAGCTTTAACTGGGATGGGACTATGTTTTGGAAAAGTTTACTCACACGTAGAGGTTCATAAAGGTTGATAAAGCTCAACCCTGAGTGAAAATCCCTAGAAAAGCCTGTTATGCATATTGTCTTCATACTCATACCTGTTGTCATTACACCTCTTCATCGAAATTATTGTGGTCAACATCATTATGTACATTTTGTCTTCAGAGCAGGATAATTTGTACCAGTACTCCATAATTCCTAAATGTTTGCCTCTTAACCCTTTCACTGTCGGTGTCGAATTAGGACAGCTTACAAGCCAGTGTTGGTGCCATATTAATACGCCAAAATTCTAGTGGCTTTAGATCTCATGGGAGAAAGCTGGTAAACCTACATGTGAGAGAATGGGTCTGCATGGTCAGTGTGCACAGTATAAAAAAAATCCTGCAGCATGCAGTACCTAATGAGAAAAAAAAAAAAAGACCGTGTTTTTGGTTTAAAACGCTGACTTTGAGGTGTATTTTCATATGGTATTTATGGTTGTATTCTTGTTTTCTTGGTCTCATTTGATAGAATGGAAGATATATTACAGAAATAGAGATAATTTTGATTAGTTTCACGATGAAAAGTACCTTAAAATTGAGCTCAAAGCGGGAATGTTTGATTTTTGCTGATGTTCATGAGTAAACAAATGACATCACCTTCCAATACGTGTCCAATTGGCCAGTCTAATACGTAGTCACGACTGGGATGACACTGTTTATACAGTTATTATAATAATGCAGTAGTCTGCGTAACAGTAAATCTTCTGTTTCATGTGTGAATATAAATTCAAAATGGAAAGCAAGGGTAATATAAGAGGGGCCTGAAGATGTGGCCAACAAAGAGAGAAAATGTTAATTTAGTGCCAGGAATGTCCACATTGTTTATTCTGGACTCTATTTTGAAATTGGCATCTTTTGAAATTTGTGTGAAATTGGCCAAATTGCCAATTTCTGACCTCTTTATTGGGTAATTGAAATTGGTAAATGGGTGCTTTCTTGTACTCAATCGTTAGAACAAATGGAGTTCTAGTGAAATAGCTATAAGTTTGGTCGACTAGAACAATGAAATTGACTGAAAATAGGGCTCCAAGTGGGCAAAATCACTGATGCGCATATATCGCTGAGACTAACTTCGTGAGAATGTAATTCCATCAGATTTCATACTTTTGGTGTCATTACCATCGAGAAAAGATTCTCTGTCATTTCATAAGAATTTTTTTTTTTTTTTTTAATTTTTCGACACTGAGAGCAAGTTTGTGAGCAGGGGCCTCGACAGTGAAAGGGTTAACTGCATCACATGTTCTTAAGCTTTAGAAATCAGATTAAACCGTTGAAATAAATGCTAAAAATATTTTCTGCTTGCTTGTCTAGAGAAATAAGTGCATGTTCAGTACAGTATTCGTTATATTAGTACACTATTTAAAATTAATACACAGTGTAAGGGTACAAGGGAAAATGTATACTCAATAACTGAGGAAACAAATGAATTACTTTATAATGGTTGATGAAGTTATGTTCACATTACTTTTCAAAAACAGATAAGAAAAGGCAAAAAAAAAAGTGGTGATGCATATTGAATGATGAAGTTAAAAAAAAATTCAGTATCCTTAGCATGAGTTTTATTTAAGTAGACTGTATGCACTTTTTTGGTAACTACATAAAAACTCTTTAGCCTGCCTCATTTTTTGCAAAATAAAAAACAAATACCCTCCTTTTGAATGATAACTTAAAACTGATGATAATTTGAGACCTAGAAAATTAAATTGTATAATAAGCATTGACAGTGTCCTAACAAAGTTATCACTAATATACAAAACTATATATTCTAGTCATATGCATTTTGGAATTTATTTGTGAACAATTATAATTCAGGACATGTATCATGCTGTCAGTAAGATTGTCAGTTA